TACTGTATAATACTCAGACAAAAAGGCTGTGACTTAGAAATCAATGAAATAGACTAGGTATGCAGACTTAAAGGGACATCACGTGAAAAGGCGTTTTTTTTTTAATGAATGTATGATTGTATGCACTTCCACTTATGTTACCTCGCTATCCCCATATCCATAGTCCGTTCCAAATGTCCAGTTTGACCACTTGAATTGTTCGGGAAAGCCCTGCTAAAAATAGTGCCGATAACGTCACCTGACTAGGCAGTAAACACAAGTGGTGCGAGCGCGATGAAACGGTTTCCAAAGGGGCCCCCAGAGAGGGGCCGTAAGGCAACTGCAACTTCTTACCGCCCTATGAAACCAAGTTATATGATTTCTAAGTCCGTATTCAAACTTATTGAACAGTAAATATTCATCATTAGAAGTTAATTGCACACTTGCCAATATTTAGAATTTAAATTTATTTAGCTTTAAACATAAATTTGTTGCCAATAAAATTAAACAAGGGATGGGGCACAAGTTTTAACAATTTATCACAGTCTTCTCCCGTCATACATTTACAATTAAATGTCAACAATGATAATAGGCATAAACATAAAGTAGATATATTTAAATATATATTGAATTTAGTACCGGAATGTGGCCGGTACAGATGGTAGGGGGCTAAACACCTTCCCTACACCAAGGGACAAACCTTTCTGATTTTTTTTTATATATTGCCGGGGCAGAGGAGGCCGGGTATTCATATTAGTACTAATTTAAATCTTGCATGTAAAAACAAAAATAATCGTTTAATTCAGCAATATAATTAAATCATACCATTTTATTGAACCCGGTAATATTATAAATTATGTAAATCCACGGACTTCGATAACACGTATCTCGGTGACCCAGAAAATACGCCGTGGGCCATCACAACAGTTATCCCTTGGAGGGCCTCATGGAAAAATCAAACTAACCAGTCACTTATCCCTTCCTTTCGCATAAACCACTGTATAATTATAGAAACACAAAGTAAACTCTCTCCAATACATGCCCATTAACATATTAAACTAAGTTCATCTGTGTTCAAACTCAGACAAAGATACTAGCGAGCTTAATAGTTTTAGATATTTATTCATAACATAAACAGCGCTAGCATTTCTGTCGATTCCATTTCAGCTTAACCGGCTATCCGGAAGAATACATGCACCGTACTAACTGCTACGGCAGTTATTTTCTCCTTTGAATACTGCCCACCTGCAATAATGATTCCGTAACGTACTCCTTGCGCTATCTTTTGACCATTTGGCAACTTTTCGTTTCGTATCTGACACGGTACAACACTTTTCTTTTGCTTACTTCACAAGGCCAGTCATTTTGTTTACAAAGAAATGGTGTGCTATGCGCTAGTAAAGGGAAATCCCTGAACAAAACGTTGGTCAGACAGGTAGAAATACCGATGATTTTCTTAGATTTAATCATTTTTATGAATCTATTTCAGCCAAATCCGATCGTTATTTTCCATAAGGAGTCTCACTTGATATGTTTATGTAGTATTTGAAAAAAAGACAAAAAATAAAGTTACTTCACCGTGATGCCCCTTTAAACCATGTTCATACTGCTAGTGTATATTGTCAAATCAATAGTAATTGGCAGTGTTGTTACTGAGGTAAATACAAATAAGTCAAAACTATTAAAATATTCTTTGGAATACAAGTGTCTTCACAGTTAGGTCAGTCCTCTTTTGTTGTAAATCACTTCAAACTTCTTACTCACGACTGTTTGATTTCACAATATGAAATGACGTCACATGGCATGACATCACAATTGTTAGCTATGTCACACTTGAATCATGTCTTGTACATCAAGTTTTCTCCTGGTCATAGAACGTAAATCAGGTGTTATAGGTACAGATAATTAAAACGGCTACTTCTTTACAGACTATGGGAGAAGTGAAACACATCTTAATCGTGAGATTCTGATTTATAGCAACACTATCTTGTAGAGTAAAACCACGGACTTAGATAACCTGATTCCGTGGTAAAACTGGTACATACTGTGTATCAAGTTTATTTCAAGTTTTATATTTGTTGTATTAACATGTGATGTAAATATACAACAGATAGTTGTATCATTATGTGATACTGAATTCACAGTGCCATTCCATAATTATCTGGAAACGTTAATGTAAAATTATAGAGTTTTAGATACAGTATCTCAAATATCCTACACTCTAACGGTTTTAACATCTATGTATCCTACACTCTATCAGTTTTAACCTCTATGTATCCTAACATCTATGTATCCTACACTCTAACGGTTTTAACACCTATGTATCCTACACTCTAACGGTTTTAACATCTATGTGTCCTACACTCTAACGGTTTTAACATCTATGTATCCTCCACTCTAACAGTTTTAACATCTATGTATCCTACATTGTAACGGTTTTAACGTCTATGTATCCTACACTCTAACGGTTTTAACATCTCTGTATCCTACACTCTAACGGTTTTAACATCTATGTATCCTCCACTCTAACAGTTTTAACATCTATGTATCCTACATTGTCACGGTTTTAACATCTATGTATCCTACACTCTAACGGTTTTAACATCTATGTGTCCTACACTCTAACGGTTTTAACATCTATGTATCCTCCACTCTAACAGTTTTAACATCTATGTATCCTACATTGTCACGGTTTTAACATCTATGTATCCTACACTCTAACTGTTTTAACATCTATGTATCCTACACTCTAACGGATTTAACATCTATGTATCCTACACTGCATCCTACACTCTAACGGTTTTAACATCTATGTATCCTAACATCTATGTATCCTACACTCTAACGGTTTTAACACCTATGTATCCTACACTCTAACGGTTTTAACATCTATGTGTCCTACACTCTAACGGTTTTAACATCTATGTATCCTAACATCTATGTATCCTACACTCTAACGGTTTTAACATCTATGTGTCCTACACTCTAACGGTTTTAACATCTATGTATCCTCCACTCTAACAGTTTTAACATCTATGTATCCTACACTCTAACGGTTTTAACATCTATGTGTCCTACACTCTAACGGTTTTAACATCTATGTATCCTCCACTCTAACAGTTTTAACATCTATGTATCCTACATTGTAACGGTTTCAACATCTATGTATCCTACACTCTAACGGTTTTAACACCTATGTATCCTACACTCTAACGGTTTTAACATCTCTGTATCCTACACTCTAACGGTTTTAACATCTATGTGTCCTACACTCTAACGGTTTTAACATCTATGTATCCTCCACTCTAACAGTTTTAACATCTATGTATCCTACACTCTAACGGTTTTAACACCTATGTATCCTACACTCTAACGGTTTTAACATCTATGTGTCCTACACTCTAACGGTTTTAACATCTATGTATCCTCCACTCTAACAGTTTTAACATCTATGTATCCTACATTGTAACGGTTTTAACATCTATGTATCCTACACTCTAACGGTTTTAACATCTATGGTGACGTCAAGAAAGAACGAAATGATGATGCCACAAATTCAGGTAAAAGCAAAACTGGTTGAGTGATCCTTTGATCATTTTTCCAGTCTTGATATTCAAAACTATACAATAGCTTGTCAATGCATTTGAGTTTACCATAGGATGAAAAGAACCTCAAACTTCTGTCCCCAATAACTGAAGGTGACATTTCATAAAAATACAATATGTAATGGGATCTTGTTTGAAATCCTATGTATATTATGGAAATGACTCAGCAAGCTGTTTCAAATAACAAACTTTACACACATGACATACTTATTATATCAACCTAGCTGTACATTAAATTTTTGCTTCATTTTGAGATCAGTACGATTAAATAAATGATACATCAGAAAATACCTGTTAGTCACACTACCTGATCAACTATATATATAGGTATTTTCCCATTTGCTTAAACATCTGTGTACAGATGAGATTTTCTATGTAGATATATAGGCCTAATTATCATATGTGTGTACTGATCGAGACAGACGGCTGAACCTACTAGGTAAATACAGTGTATGCATGACAGAAAATATTCATGTACAAATTATAAGCTATTTAAATCAGTGAGGATGGTACGTAAGGCGAGGTCAGAAAATCTGCCCACACATAGATTTCTCTTTTGATATTGCTAACATATATACCTGTACATGTGTTATGTCATATATAAACGTTATATATACCTATGTATGTGGACATAAGTTTTATAGTCCTATAATTCGTACAGCATTTACAACAGAAAATATGACTGTGAAGACATTTGTATTCCATCGTATTTTCTGTTGAATTATTTGTATTTACCTCAGTAACAACACTGCCATTTAAAATTGATATGACGATATAAAAATGCAACCCGATAGATTGATATAAAAAAAGTGCCATCACGACATGTATAATGTACAGGTGTGTATAACATATGTATGCTGGTACATATGGTACAGGGTAGTAGATGTCGCCCCTTATCTGTTAGTATCTACAGCTTTCCAACACTTCTACAGTACTATTGATTCCAGACAAGTCAAAATGGAATATAACACCATAGTGAAAGCAGTGTTCATCATGCTATGAATGCATCATGCCAATTTGACAGAAGTATTTAACCTTTAGCTGCTGACTTTAACACTGAAGTGATCACTGAAACTTGACATACTTACGAGATAATTAAAATCTTTTAAGAGCATATGAAACAAACATATAAAATAAATTTCAGTGGAAACATGAAATGGAACTATATTGGTACCTTGTATTCATAAATGTCAATTATATTGAGACACTGTTTAGGGAACCAGTACATCTAGTTGGCCCTGATGTTGGGTGTCAAACCCACGTTCACCACATCAATGGGTTTCAGATGCTGAGAAATGCTCCAAATCTAAACCACACGGCAGAGCATGCTAGCTGTGATAAAGATACTGACCCTATATTTCATAGCAGTTCATTATCAGTGATAACGGAGATAAGAATTATCTAACCATGAATGAATTGAGCAGTTATCTATATTTTATTCAGTTAACATACAAAATACATGTAACAGCAAAAATGATCAACCTATCTATTGCAAATAAGAATAATACAATGAGTAGCAGAAAAAGATTTTTGTATTGTAAGTCTCTGGAGGATTTGACATACTGCATAGAGTATTTATTTCTATAAAGTTCTACATCTGTACAATGACATATCCTGAACACACACACAACTTCTCACCACAGGAATAACAATTCTCATATTACTATAATTACAGTAAATTACACCCACAACCCTCCAACACTCACAATCCTCCAACACCCACAACTCTCCAACACTCATAACCCTCCAGCACCCACAACACTCATGACCAGTACACACATTTTATGTAAATTACTTTCATATACTACATGCACCTTAATGTTTTCCACACTTAAAGCTGCACCTTCTTTTCCAACACGTTTTTTCCTCAGTTTGTAATTTTTAGCCAAGATATGTTTCAACTATAGATCAAAAGATGTTTGTGTAGAGGTATTGGGTATCCTTAAGAAAAAAATACTTTCCACAAAATGTAATTTAATACATATGCAATGCTTTTCTTTCAATGATATGGCAATCTTCCATAACATTCAATAATTTCTATAGAACTTTTTTTGAAAACCAAAGTATTGCTGTGTACATGCATGTGCCTATTGTTCATTTAGGCCCTTCAGTAAATATCAACCTTTTCACATTATTACTGTGACTGCATTTTGTCCAATAGATCTAGTAAAAAGCAAACCAATTAAGTTCCATGTTAAATCCTAATACTTATTTGATGATGATGTTGGAACTACAGTAAATCCTATATCCTGACCTAAACGAAAGCACCGACACCAATTTTCCCCAATATCACTCTAGGTTTTCTCACTTCCAACTCATTGGATAAACCTGCTAGGAGTTGGTTAACGTTTTTGGGTACCCACTAGTGGGTAACACACTGGACATGATGTTATCTGTCAAACTTAAAATTATCATGTCAAGTAAATAATAATGCTTTGTAACGTCATTTCCCGTTGTGACATCATAATTCATGGCAAATGTGTCCCCAATCGGAAAAAGGAATGATTTATTTTCACTGGAGAAACATGGTTTTCTAGATATAATATCTAAACAATGATGGTTGATTATCATGTTTATTTAACTCACATTGGTTAATTTTCAAAGTTAAAGACACTTGGTAAACTTGTGTCAATATACAATTTGAAAATTAACAACTTATTCAAGTAAGTTAAACGTGACAACCAACCATCAATTGTTTGGGAACCTCTATATAACCATTCCAAATTAATGTCACATTATTTCTCCATTTACCTGATTTGTTTATATTTCAGGATATAATTTATGCGTAAGTATATTCTAGCTGTTTCATATTACAGGTATTTTTACTGTTTTGAGTGGATCTTTTAAGGGGTTCAATGTATACCTGTGAAAGAAATACTGTAATTTATACTTGTATTCAACACTTTATAAGCGCAGTATCAGTAGAAATTCTGCTATAACCTGCACAGCTGTAATACCGGGTAAACTAGATAAGGTAATGTTTTTGATTTTACACAAATATCACCTTACTATTAATAACTTGGTCAAAAAGTACTGTAACTTCTATAATATAGGTTGTTGTCTTGTTCAAGATTTTACATAGATAGATGAATGTACTGCATTACTCAAAACAAGACTTTTTAACTTACATTTTGACAGCTTATGGTGGTATATTTAATATACGCACTGCATGATTAAGGCATATATCCTGCTGAAGACTGACCATAAGTTTAAAAAGTTTTGCTGTCACTTGATTCTGAGTAATAAAATATATTTATTTAACAATACAGTTGGTTTGTTTAAAAAAATCACAATTTATAAGCTAGATAATTGCCTTGCAACAAAATAATCCTTTTAAAAGTAAATAAAACCGACTCCATCACATCAGCATCTTTCAGAAAATCCTAAATTACTTGTCAATCTTAAACTAGGAATCATCATTCACAGCAATATGTATGATACATACTCATATATTTACATTCGCTCCCATTGAAGCTGTGTAAACCGTGACTGCGTATACATTACCGCATACGCAGTGAGATTCCTTGGAGACCATTGTTTCCTATTGATGACGTAATTTACATTGTGACGTCATAATGGTAACGTTGGAGATCCATCGCTGCTCGCAGGCTGTAGGCTGTTCATTTGTTTGGATTTACACAGGTTACGGAGGCTTTGTACCAATATAATACAATATTCAGTTTGACTGCGTATACGGTAGTATGAACGCAGTCAAAATGAAGGTCAATCCTTAAATGCAACATCAAGCATGCCTCCACGCAACGTATCACGTACCATGCATGCTCACACAAATTATACATTTTCACACACATCATCATACATTCTCAAGCACAATTAACATGCATGCTCACTTGCAATAAATGATAAAAAAATGCTGACTTACACACACCACAAATGCTCATGCATACACACACCACACAAGCATGCACACACCGCTTATTCATGTATACATTGATATGCTAAACAAAAATACTTATACACACTGTACACACACTAGACATGCTTCCAACATCAGTATTATGCTTTCTCAGCTGTAAAAGCTAACTTAATTGCAACAACTCTAAAAAAAATCTGAAATGATCTAAAAGGATAAATAAATGCTATTAATACATCCCAAAGAATGTCTTCAAGCTATTAATCCATCTTCCCATGTAATAATTGGTCACCGTTAATCTCCACCTGTACTTTGGGCAATAATGGCTGCCACAATTCCGATGATAATTGCAATGACTATGACTAATATTATGATGCATATGCACTTTTTCTTTCGAAACTTTTTCTGATTTTTCTCAGCTTCACCTAAGTCTTTCTTTCCTGATTCGATATCAGCCACAGTACGTTCCACATGATTTTCTATGGTATCAATTGTCTCCCCTTGGTCTGCCACTAACACATGCATTTCCTTAAATAGTTTGTTGACCTCATGAATCTGACCTTCAATGTCATGTAGAACTTCTTCGCGCTCCTGTAGAACTTGTAAATCTCCCTTAGCTTTTTGCATTTCCATCAAGAATCCCCCAGTAAACATGGCCTGGTTTTGGAAATTCATGTCAATATTGTCTGGTTCATTCCCATTAGTTACAATCTGCATCTGACGTTTAAATCTTGCTTTTGTTTTATCCAAGTAATCTGCTTGATTTCCAGCAAAATCGTGAGTGGTCGTTTTCAGTTCCTGTGATAATCGGTCAATCTGAGTCACATGAACTCTTTGATGTGTACCAGAAGTTATCAGGGATGCCTTTTGTGATTCTGTCGTTGTTTCAGCAGCTAATAACTCAATATCTTTTCGAATGCGTATTGAATCAGTCAGAATCTGGTCAGACATGTGTTCCATCTTCTGTAAGTCCTTCGAAGTTACAAATGGTGAACAATACAAATTACTTTGTAACTTTTTCACATCATCAGCCTCTTTCTTTAAGCTTTTTAGTCTTTCTTCAATACCGTGGACTTTATCTTGGAATCCTGCTATTGTAGTTTCCATGGTTTCTTTTTCCTTTTTCTTGCGTTTCTTTTTCAAATCTTCACTTTCAAACTCTTCGTGTTTCTTTTTCATCTCCTGTAGCCTATCCTTGACCATGATGGACACTGCAGGTAAACACGATCCTTATATAGTCCAGGTGGTAAGTTGTATGTCACTTCTATACTTGGAGCGATGCGTAATGATATCAGGCCATTACCTGGATCCACCTGTTGTTTCGGTTATCTGCAGTATTACCTGGTAAGTTGTCGGAAATTGATAGGAGAATTGTAGACAAACAGAAGTGAGTACACCTCGCTGATGACTGTATCGGTGACTCCTTATTGTAGTAATCAGCCAGAATTAGACATGAGAACACACTTGGGCTTTTCCCTACATGTCTGACCAGACTAGTAGTTGTAACACAAGTATATATATACTCCAGGCAAACTTACACTGAGTCACAGCAGTTGAGGCCCCAGGTGGGGAAATTAATCTCGCTTCAATGAGTTCAAATTATAATCTTGTAAATAAATCCAAGCTGTAGTAAATTTCCTTAAAAAACTATTATCCAGCAGAGGAAGTATGACAATGGCCTGACCTAACAATAACACAAGCCTGTACAGATGTCTGCATGGCGCTACCTCACACTTATAAGGAGAGCTATATACTAAGCCCTGAGTACATCAACATGTCACTATCACATGTCTCTGTATATCAGAACACACTTGAGCTTTAGGTACATTGATATGTATGCATACATATATTTATGTATACAACTGTGTCAACGAGGGATAAATTATCAATGGCAAACTGTATTGTGATACTTTAGTACTAACTAAGGCACAGGTATGTCCTAGAAAGGGACCATATGCTATATGTACATTTGTACATCTCCTTTTCCAAAATAGATAATCTACAAAAACGAATGCCTAGTTCAAACACTAGCTAGTACCTATATGACAGCTAAAATAAAAACTCAGGTATAGGGAGAACCAAAACTCAGGTATAAGGAGATTGTTTTTTTCTAAGTAAATTCAACCTTGAAATCATGTTGTTGCAAGCTTTTCAAACAATTACACCAACCTGTACCTCATGTTTTAACTAGGTATTTTGTATTTGCTGTAGTCTAAAGCTTATAATTAATCTTAAAGCACAAGTTCTGTCACACCTACAGGTACAGGTAGACGATTTTATATGAGGCCAACAGGTAAAGATTTTGAAAGGTGCCTCAGGTGTATACATTTACAACATCAAGTCCCATTCAGTTCCTCTACACTGTATTGTGTGTGTGTTTGTAAGGAAATACCTTCAACACAATCTGAAAACATCAAATATTTCGTGCTTGAGTGAGCACGAATTGCGAGGTCCTCCATAGGAGGAATCAGAGATAAATATTGCGATGTCGACAATCTAGGAGATATTGAAAACACTTGTGACTTATAGTATATACTATGTACAGAAAACAGATAAATTAATTAAATTTTATTAATTATAAGCAGATTTCATTTGCATGCCATTGTACATGTTCTTTAATTTATGTCAAAAACTTCTTTTTCATATTTTTCCAAAATTTTACAATATATAGAAATGTTAATCATGACCATGCAGTTATGATCAATCCCTATAATTAATGTTATATAGTTGTACTGATGATGCTTTGGTAATACTTGTCCAGGAAATGTATAGAGTAGCACCCTCGTCAGATTTACAGTATTTATAGATCTTCTTTCACCAGTAAAAACCCATAAGTCATTGATGAGTTTTTCACACTTTTTAAAACTCATCTTTTGAATCATATAGTCCCACATCTTAAACCTGTTTGAATCCATTTGTGTCCTCTTCTTTCAGTCTTTTATGAATATATTGCGAGGTAATAAATCAGGTTATATTATACATCGTTGATCTAAAACAATTTATAATAACAACAAGAGATCCCAGAGGGATCTTGGCGCCCACCTTTGTACCATCTCCATTAGTTCTTTGTCAGTTCTATCTTTTCTCTTCTTTCCTCTAATCTGTTTGATAGAGTCATGTCAACAGTAAATGCACCTTGAGGTAACTTTTGATCTAAACTTAATACTGATGTGTATGAAAGCCAACCTTCAAAGTGAGTTTGTCATTTCACATATTTACTAGTTCAGTACTTAATGTGAAAGAAATAGAATCGATCATTGCAATATGAGAAAGATCTGTTTAGTTCTTTAAATCCATTTTGTTTTTATGATCAGTCTCAAAATATAACATGCACAACGAGGGATCAAGTGGAAGCTAAATTTAAAATTTGAGAAAGATCCCTCCCGTACTTTCCGAGAAATAGCAATAACAAATTTTCACTATCAAAATCCAAGATGGCTGCCTGTCGGCCATGTTGTTTATCCGATCAGTCTCTAAAATTGCCCTGCACAGCTAGGACCAAGGGGAACCTACATATCAAATTTAAGAAAGATCCCTCTAGTTCCTACACTATCAAAACCCTAGATGGCTGCCTGTCGGCCATGTTGTTTATACGATCAGTCTCAAAAGTTGCCCTGCACATCCAAGGGCCAAGGGGAACCTATATATAAAAATTTGAGAAAGATCCCTCTGATGCTTCCCGAGAAATAGCGATAACAAACTTTCAATATCAAAATCAAAGATGGCTGCCTGTCAGCCATGTTGTTTATCCGATAAGTCTCAAAAAAAATGCCCTGCACAGCTAAGGACCAAGGGGAACCTACAAATAAAATTTGAGAAAGATCCCTTTTGTACTTCTTGAGAAATATCGATAACAAACTTTCACTATCAAAATCCAATATTGCTGCCTGTCGGCCATGTTGTTTATCCGATCAGTCTCAAACAAAAATTGCCCTGCACAGCTATAAGGATCAAGGGGAACCTACATATCAAATTTGAGAAAGATCCCTCTGGTGCTTCTTGAGAAATAGCCATAACAAAGTTTCAATATCAAAATCCAAGATGGCTGCCTGTCGGCCATGTTGTTTATACGATCAGTCTCAAAAGTTGCCCTGCACAGCTTAGGACCAAGGGAAACCTACATACAAAATTTGAGAAAGATCCCTCCGGTACTTCTGGAGAAATAGCGAGAACAAGAATTGTTTAAGGAAGGACGACGGACCACGGATGTAGGGTGATTTGAATAGCCCACCATCAGATGATGGTTGGCTAAAAATGTACTTATGTACATCATACATTATTACTGTATGTGATAGATTGTGTTTCTATATTGCTATTATTGAGGAATTAAATATCAGTAAATGTAAATAAAATGCAATAGTATTATGGTGAGACAAGAAAATATTACACAGGCTACCAGCCCCCAACTCTTGATGAAGAATATTTTTCATAAAATAGAGAGGGGATGGTGGCCTGCAATTATCTCCCCCTAATTTGAGAACTCAAGAATGAGATGTCCGAGTGATCAAAATTATAAGAGCCAATGTTTTCTAAATAATTTAATATTCTAGGGCTAAGTGGTCTAAATACATTGTAAATTCATTTAAATTTAAAATGTCTTGTGTCTTCTAAATACAGAACAAAGAACATTCTTCCTAATGCAATATAAAGGATCTTTGTTTCATTTTTATATAAGATTTTTATGAAACTCAACCTGAAGATTTGTTTTAGCTAGACTGATCCAACATTGAGACCTAGCTAATTCATTAATCTGATAAACAAGAGGCCCAGAGAGCCTGTATCGCTCACCTGAATATGTTTATAACAATTGGTATGAAGTAAAGTTATAGCACTCCATGGTAGGTGCTGTAAGTACATATGAAATTTCAGAAAGATCCATCAAGTACTTGAGATATAGCGATAACAAACTTCAAACAGATCGCCCCACCCCTATGCCCCTAGGGGGGGGGTTATACCCACCATATATACAAAATTGAGTTCCCTTGGCCCAAGGATTCTCCAGACTAAATTAGGATAAAATCCCTTAATCCCGATGGTCGAAGAAGGATTTTAATGGTTTTACCTCTATTTCTCCTATTGGGCCCCGCCCTTCTGCCCCCTGGGAGACCACACCCCCTGCTTATACAAATTTGAGTCCCCTTAATTGGCCCAAGGATGCTACAGACCAAATAAGGATAAACACACCGTTTATATAAAATTGGTTCTTCTTCATACCAAATTTGGATAAAATCCTGTCATTCGTACGCAAGCAGAAGGTATTTGAAGAATTTGCTATGTTTCCCCTATTGGGCCCTGCCCTTCTGCCCCAAGGGGGCCACACTCACTGTTTATACAAACTTGAGTCCCTTTTACCAAAGATCCTCTAGACCAAATTGGGAAGAAATCCCTTCATCCCTATGGAAGAAGAAGGATTTTAAAGGTTTACCTCTATTTCCCTTATTGGGCCACGCCCTTCTGCCCCCCTGGAGACCACTCTCACTGCTTATACAAATTTGAGTACCCTTGGCCCAAGGATGCTCCACACCAAATATGGAACAAATCCTTTCATTCCTAAAGAAGAAGAAGGATTTTAAAGAATTTGCTATATTTCCTACATTGGACCCTGCCCCTCAGCCACAGGGGGGCCAGACCCACGGTTTATACAAAATTGGTTCCCCTTTACCCAATGAGGATCCAAACAATATATGGACCAAATCCTTTCATTCCTACAGAAGATGAAGGATTTTAAAGAATTTGCTATATTCCCCCTATAAGGCCCCATCCCTCAGCCCCTAGGGGGCCTGACCCACTGTTTTATACAACAACGGTTCCCTTTTACCCAAGGATGATCCACACCAAATATGGACCAAATCCTGTCATTCCTACAGAAGAAGAAGTATTTTAAAGAAGAATTTGCTATATTTCCCCTATTGGGCTCCCCCCCCCCCCCCTCAGCCCCCAGGGGGGCCAGACCCACCATTTATACAAAATTTAGTCCCCTCGGCCTAAGGATGCTCCAGACCAAATTTAGTCCAAATCTACTGGGCCGTTCAGGACAAGTAGCATTTTAAAGGAAAAGATGACGGACGATGAACGACGGATGCTGCGGTATGGCATAAGCTCACCATGGTCCTTCAGACTTACTCTTAATTCATATTCATAGGACGACCAAGTGAGTTCAGTGTGATGAGAAATTCAGATACGTAGCTATAGAGCCAAAAATATGTGTAACCTCAGGTGAGGGGTCTGAGCCCCCAGTGGGTCCAGGACAGGACCCTGGTGGGGGAGATTCAGTGTTGCCAATCCCCCAAAACAGAAAATGATTTTGTTTTCAAACATGAAAATTATCAAGGAGGGTTATCATAAAGATATATTTTAAGTGCCCAGTCAGCTTAAATGAAGTAAATCAAATACATATGTAACTAATATTTATTATTAATTAAGTTCCATACACCATAGATGACTTGTATACATCCATTCATTACACCATAAATGATTTGTATACATCCATTCGTTACACCATAGATGGTTTGTATACATCCATTCATTACACCATAGATGATTTGTATCACATTTACAATTCATTTATTAAGTGCATGTAGTGGAACTGGACTGGGTCAATCGCCAGCGACCAGGTAGCTCAATTTGCAGAGCGTCGACAGTCTAGAGTTCAGAGGTCCTGGGTTCAAATCACTGGACCATAGCACATTTCGTTTCCTATTGCATGCATTTTACGTAATTCAAGATACCTGACTGGTAGACATCATACACACAGTAAATAAGGATACTTGTGAAAATGTGCATAATGGACTGTATGTATATTTGTTGCTTAATACCCCGGTCACACATTAACAGACGGTCTTGCCGGATCCACTAAATAGAAATTCACGGATGACCCTGGAAAAATCTATATCAGTGGTCCGCTACGGATGCAGTACGGTTTGACTACAGATAGGGGGTAGTTGACAACTGTTCGGTGCGGTTTAGTACGGAATGACACGTGTCATGGTGTATGCACTGCAGATTAACAACGGTTCGCTACAATTTTAGTACAGATTAGGACGAATAGTCTGGCACGGATTAGCACGAATAGTCTGGCACGGATTAGTATGAACTCGCACGGAGTGCCACGAACCTGCCACGGTAAGCAATCCGTCTTCAAACTCCTGCGCTCGCGTGTTCATTCCACAACTTAATTCAAATCTTAGTACGGGTTAGTACAAGTATGTAGTTCACCGTAGCTAACCATACCGAGGCCGGGGATCTACTACGGATCAGTAAGGATGTACTACAGTTGTCTGATCGGTGGTAAATTTTTGAACATGTTAAGGAATTGTCACATATACAAATACTACTATGAATGACCAAGGATACAATACGGACCACTGCTGATTGCCACGAATGATGCCGGATCGTATCCATGGCTAATCCAGCGGCGCATCCGTGAATGTGTGACTGGGACATTAATATCATTACCATGTTTATATATAATATCAACGTAAATGTCCTGATTTCATTTTTCACGAAAAAAGGGTTTCTATATTGCAGTTCTAGTGTAGTAATATAAACACACGTGACTCTTTCCAGACCAGCTTATTAAAAAGTGCACGCTGAGATACAGAAAGCAAACCATAAGTTCATCTTTATTTGACCAATGATTTCAAAAACACGTCTCTCGATCAGGATACAACTCAATGTTGTGTGTCTTTACTTAATTTATTTTTTTAATATGATTTAGAATTGTTCAATCAACCTCTCTATCAGAATATGGAAGAGGTGGTGAAAGTCAGTTATTTCGGAAAAAGATAGACTTGATATTCTGTCCCAGAGAAAGTGTAATGGCCAGAGGGTAAGAGTTCAAAAATAACAATTTGTGATAGTGTTTTCACTATTTTAACATTAACATTTCTGGTATGCTACCTTCTTTACTAGAACATTTTCTGCCTCAAAAAAAACCCTGTGCAAATGACACAAGTAATTACATCACTATATCAAAGATTTTAAATCTTACATTATGGAAGAAATTGACTTATATTAGTTTCACATGTCTTTGGGGAGCTCAATCCTTAATGATTAAACTTGATATTTAGTTTGCCACAGGGGTCCTTCAAGAGAGCTTAATCCTTAATGATCAAACTTGATATTTAGTTTGCCACAGGGGTCCTTCAAGAGAGCTCAATCCTTAACTGACTGTATTTGACTTAGTTTGACATGTCTTTGGGAAGCTCAAGATGCTTGCAATTTAGTGACAGGTATATTAAACTGTCAAATTACTTAACTTTAAACTTAAAATAAGTGTGATAAAACAAACAGTTTGTAAGTTGCTCCGTATGAGTTCCATTCTTTCATATAATTAAAAAAAATCATATCTTATTAAAGTATTCATCGAACTGTATCAAACAACTAGCATTTACAAAGAAACAAAGATTATTCTCTAGACCTTATATGTATTTTTTATGACTTCCTCAATAAAAACATATCTCCTTTTGACAATCTATTACAGCCACTTGGTAAAGCATGGCAACATTAAGGCACATAATAGCAGAAAACAACAGATTTTACAAACTGAAGTGACTGACAAACATGGCAAATACAGCATTTTAAATTCTTATCACACAATAGTTTATGTTACTTGTAATAATTGCCAACCTCTAAGCCACTTAAAGAGCCCACTATGTGTGAGATCTTCCCCCACCGGGTATAAGTAGGTAGCCCAATATGTGGGAGATCTTCCCCAACCAGGTATAAGTAAGGAGCCCAATATGTGGGAGATCTTCCCCCACCAGGTATAAGTAAGGAGCCCAATATGTGTGAGATCTTCCCCCACCGGGTATAAGTAGGGAGCGCAATATGTGGGAGCTCTTCCCCCACCGGGTATAAGTAGGTAGCCCAGTATGTGGGAGCTCTTCCCCCACCGGGTATAAGTAAGGAGCCGAATATGTGGAAGATCTTTCCCCACCGGGTATAAGTAAGGAGCCCAATGTGTGGGAGATCTTCCCCCACCAGGTATAAGTAAGTTGCCCAATATGTGTGAGATCTTCCCCCACCGGATATAAGTAGGGAGCGCAATATGTGGGAGCTCTTCCCCCACCGGGTATAAGTAAGGAGCCGAATATGTGAGAGATCTTCCCCCACCTGGTATAAGTAGGTAGCCCAATATGTGGGAGATCTCCCCCCACCGGGTATAAGTAAGGAGCCCAATATGTGGGAGATTTTCCCCAACCGGGTATAAGTAAGGATCCCATTGTGTGGGAGATCTACCCCCACCAGGTATAAGTAAGGAGCCCAATATGTGGGAGATTTTCCCCAACCGGGTATAAGTAAGGAGCCCAATATGTGGGAGATTTTCCCCAACCGGGTATAAGTAAGGAGCCGAATATGTGGAAGATCTTCCCCCACCGGGTATAAGTAAGGAGCCCAATATGTGAGAGATCTTCCCCCACCGGGTATAAGTAAGGAGCCCAATATGCGGGAGATATTCCCCCACCGGGTATAAGTAGGTAGCCCAATATGTGGGAGATGTAATAATTGCCAACCTCTAAGCCACTTAAAGAGCCCACTATGTGTGAGATCTTCCCCCACCGGGAATAAGTAGGTAGCCCAATATGTGAGAGATCTTCCCCCACCGGGGATAAGTAAGGAGCCGAATATGTGAGAGATCTTCCCCCGCCGGGTATAAGTAAGGAGCCCAATTTGTGGGAGATCTTCCCCCACCGGGTATAAGAAAGGAGCCCAATATGTGGGGGATCTTCCCCCACCGGGTATAAGTAATGAGCCCAATATGTGGGAGATCTTCCTCCTCCGGGTATAAGTAAGGAGCCCAATTTGTGGGAGATCTTCCCCCACAGTGTATAAGTAAGGAGCCCAATTTGTGGGAGATCTTCCCCCACCGGATATAAGTAAGGAGCCCAATTTGTGGGAGATCTTCCCCCACCAGGTATAAGTACGGAGCCCAATATGTGGGAGATCTTCCTCCTCCGGGTATAAGTAAGGAGCCGCATATGTGGAAGATCTTCCCCCACCGGGTATATGTAAGGAGCCCAATATGTGTGAGATCTTCCCCCACCGGGTATATGTAAGGAGCCCAATATGTGAGAGACCTTCCCCCACCTGGTATAAGTAAGGAGCCCAATATGCGGGAGATATTCCCCCACCGGGTATAAGAAAGGAGCCCAGTATGTGGGAGATCTTCCCCCACAGTGTATAAGTAAGGAGCCCAATTTGTGGGAGATCTTCCCCCACAGTGTATAAGTAAGGAGCCCAATTTGTGGGAGATCTTCCCCCACCAGGTATAAGTAAGGAGCCCAATTTGTGGGAGATCTTCCCCCACCAGGTATAAGTAAGGAGCCCAATAGGTGAGAGATCTTCCCCCACCTGGTATAAGTAAGGAGCCCAATATGTGGGAGATCTTCCCCCACCGGGTATAAGTAAGGAGCCCATTTCTTGAGATCTGATTTACAAATCAATCAAACAGATCAACTTGATTTCAAGAAATCAAAGTAGTAATGGATGTAAAATCAAAGAAAAGTAAATTTAAACCAAGACCAAGTTTGTTTTTATACCAGATTTATCAATTATAAAGAATGATTGCGTCATCTGAATAAGGTATTTATTTAAAAAAAAGAAAATTACTGACTGCCTAACATTTTTTGATATTCTTTTAAATTAAAGTTTCCATTTATTGACTGCGTCACTGAATCCAGTTGTAAAAAAAAGTTGCTACCGAAAATAAGTTACAGTGGCTTAATATTGATTGCTGACAGGTTGCTTTCCAAGTTGAAATGCACATACTAGCTGACCCTTGGAGAGGTTATTCAGTGCCTAGTGTAAAGAACCAATGAGTATATCAATCCTTGTATGATTAGCCAAATTGTGGATGACTTACCTCCCTTGGGCCACTGGCCAAGCTAACATTTCCCTTGCCATCATATTTGATGGGAGCCCCGCCCATCTCTATCAATGTTCCATAGCCAGTGGGAGTAAAGAAGGCAGGGATACCTGCCCCTCCTGCTCTTATCCTCTCTGCTAGAGTTCCCTACAATGTAATTAATATAACTATAACAGAACTTCCAGACAGCATTCTCAATACAAACATAATGTTTATGTTGTTTCATTGTAGTGAACAGTTTTGAAGACAATTAACAAACTAAAGTTTGCAGCTTTCACTCTGAAATTAGTTTTCATTAACATAAAATACTTCATATATACATGTTATATGTCAATTGAAATAAATACTACAACAACATTAAAAAGATATTGCAATGATTATATTTTACCCGGCGGGAAATCTTTGAAGCAAACTTTACTGCAACACATTAGTACAATGATCTTCTTTTTATTAATAGTTGTTAAACATTTTGGTCCTATAGATTTTATTTTCAGGCTAGAGGATATCAGTATGGCTTTGTTTTTGCCAAGAGTATAAATATGCAAGACCACACACTTGTGTTTTTGTAACGAATCAGAAAGCATGAGTTTATTGTGCGGACAAATATATTCACGAGTGCGCTTCGCGCACGAGTGAATACATACGTCCGCGCATAAATGAGTGCTCTCTGATTCGTTAGACAAACACAAGTGTGTGGTCTTGATTTTATCACATACCTTCCGTATTTGGTAGAGATCGCTACAAATATTTTATAAACTTTTTAGTTCGCCATGAAAAGGGGATTCCCATAAAAAGTAGTTCCGGCTAGTAGGTAAATACAACATTCCGTATTGCAAATGTGCAATACAGAACGTTGTATTTCATGGTCTGAACATTGCTTGTATTACTATAACAAGATTCAACAGGTATTTGATAAATATGGTTCTAAATCATGCTTTATATCACCGATAGAAAATTGTTTACCTGTGGTGTGAGCTCCACCTCTAGTTCTCCTGTTAAGTATTGTCTCTCAAACTCTGCATTTTCACCCACATATGATGATATCATTCTACGAACCTGCAATGACAGGAGCGTATCTGAATTTCTAAAAACAAGACACATTAAAGTCTTACTTGTCTTCCACTAGAACATGTTCATGATTTAACAGTGTTACCTCTCAAACCCTATATACACATAGAGCAGCCTGTCCAAAACTTTTCAGTTACCAAGATTTCTCTGAGATCCCAAATCACGACCTAAGAGGTTAATGTTGATGTGGGTAAAGGGAATACACTCTTCCAATTTTTGTAGAGAGTGAAAAACACAACGAATACCTGTCCTAAAATAATTATGGCTAGTTCCACTGCTAAATTTTCAGAATGATCAGATTGATCCATCAGCTATTATTAAAAATCTGAAACAGCATTCTAACCTGTCCCTGTTTCAGGAGAAGTCCAAGGCCAAAGTCGTCCACTCCGGCATTGTTGCTGACTACAGTCAAGTCCTTCACCTTGGTATTCAGTAAAGCATTAATGAGATTCTCCGGGATGCCACATAGTCCAAAACCTGAAACATGCAACAGTATACACTTAATCATCAAAACCTGAAACATCTTATAATTATAGTACATTGATATGTTGCTGTCATAGTCAAAATGGGAATACGCTGTAGTCTCAATTAACATTTAATGACTTCCAGAATCTATACTTACCCAGTAATCATTCTATATTTATTTTGTTCGTATTTGAAAAGAAATGAAATTCTGAATTCCACTTCAACTATGAAATCTGTGAAAAACTTCAATAAAAATGGTAGTCCGAATTATTCTGACGTTTTATCAACTTTTTTCATATCGGTCTGTCATGGATTAACGTCAGAACTCCGGCCCTCTATAATATGTGGGAAATATGCGACCCGCGCCCGGAGCGCTCTTCAAACTGATATTTTAGAAACAAATCGTCACTTTCACACACATGTCGCACATGGATCGAAAGATCTAATCTTTATGCACCAGATGAACATACATAACATGCCTCAAACAACTAATACAATCACTAAAAACATATTTTTTCAAACTTACTCCGTTTTACTCTAGTTTTTTGATAGCTCTGCCTTCCAATGCCACGTGACTAAAATCTCGCCGGCCTACGTCATAACGTTGGGAAATACCTTCGGTAACACGAGATCTCGTCAAGTCATGTGACATTTCTCATGGCCTAATTTTACATAAAAAACATGGGTTGGTAAAGAAAACGTTGGAAAATGCTTTTCGTAATGGTCTTTGAAACATCTTATTGATACCACCTATTGCATAAAGAATAGGTCTTTCGATCCATGTGTGATATGTGTCTGAAAGTGACGATTTGTTTCTAAAATATCAGTTTGAAGTGCGCTCCGGGCGCGGGTCGCATATTTCCCGCATATTATAGAGGGCCGGAGTTCTGACGTTAATTGACGACAGACCGATATGAAAAAAGTCGATAAAACGTCAGAATAATTCGGACTATAAAAATGGTTGCACATGGCTGACAGGGATTTATTTTGCAATTGCCAAAACAATGACATGTAAATTAATAGATAAATAGCCTTATGACTTGAGTTTATATATTGGTCATTGAAAAGGAGTTTCCATTGATAATATCTGCATCTCCTATAAAGTCACCTCTGATGAGGATTTGATTTATGTGTTTGCATGTCAGACCTGTCATCTACATGTGATCATACAATAATTATTCAAGTCCAGCAAAAGTGTTAATGTACCGGTAAACAAAAACGTGAGCCGTGATAATAAAATACCTTGGGCCAGGAGTGTTAGTTAATGGGAAATAAATAAACTTTGTCATTTTGACCATACAAAAGTATCTTAATCCAAAGTGTTGATGTGACCATGTGAGGAGATTTTGTTATGAAACCATACCTCCCACCAGCAGCTTTGACCCATCAGTTATGTCTTTAACTGCATCTGCAGCGTCAGCACAGAATATGGCACTCCTCTTCGGTGATGTGCTAATATCCCTTTTCACATTTATCTGTAAAAAAAAAATTGGATATTTCAATTTACCTAAATAGTGTACTTATACGTCATACATGTATATAGTTATAAATATCACATGGGGCAAAGAAGTAATTCCAACAGTGTGGACAAGTTTAGGTTGTCAAATTTTCGGTTATAAATATCACATATACATTAATTCACTGTATAATTTTTATTGTTAAAAATAAAACACTTCCCATACAGGGTTGGTTGGTGGTACGTATAGAGTTTAACATCCCATCAACAGCTAAGGTCATTTAAGGACGCACTGCCTTCATGTGTGTTAATTTGTATGCGTGCATGTGTACATGTGTGCCACAGACCGGGTATACGTACCATACCAGGACTACCTCTTTTTATCTAATGTGTCTGAAAATTGCTGAAAGTTTTTATTCTAGTGGCTAAATTTACCAAAAGTGTACTTCAAATAGGTATGGGTTTATTTAAGCAATGCATGTTTTAGCAAATGTTGTTATGGTCCTTTAACACACATAACTATTGATGACAAACTTAATAAAACCACAGAATTAGATTAGCTATCAAAGTCTGTAATAAAGCCTAGTACACTAACAGTAAGGGCAATCATGTATAATATGCCAACATTTGGGTAATTTATGGTTTTACTCGTAGAAAACATACTATATAATGGGGTAACATGGTTTTTATGTCTGCCTTTTTCAATGATAATAATTATAATAATAATAGTAGTAACGTTCTGGTTATTTAAATAAAAGGATGATTGTGAGGGTAAATACTGGTTCTTTATGCATTCTTCTTAAAATCTTGGAAGCAATCACTATACTGTAACTACATGCATAAAGTCGAGAAGGACCACCTGCAAAAACTCTAGTGTCATTTACTGAATAAGTCCACCAGAAAAAATAAGTTAGCAATCGATGATTACGTTATATTTTAGATTAATGCAGAAGACTCAAAATGCATTTGGTTACAAATATCATTTTCTACTATTAGAATATTTGGAGACAGATTTATTTGACATCCTCCACTTTTGGAGGTGTGACAGAATCCGCCAATCAGAGAACGTGTTTACTAATCTGACGGCAATGCACGACACTCGTTTTAGTATTTCGACGCGCTATTTATCCAACTTATGATGGTGTACATGTTTGATATCAAAAGCAAATTTAACTTATAAACCTTAATTGCAGGAAATACGACCCCCGCTTGACGCCCGCAGACTTTCACTGGCGACACAAGTGACCTTAGCAAACTGGCTGCCATGTTGAGAGTTCTGGTAAAGGGACATAACCCCACAGGCCAATTGGAGTGCTCTAAAGCGATAAATAGGATGTAATATCACGGACTTATAGATAACATCACGGATTAGATTTCAGGATTTTCAAATGATATCTAAAACAAATAACTGTAAAATATTAAATATGAAAAATATTTCCCAAAGAAATCATGTCAAGTTATCCCTTGAAGCTATCAGAGACGTATTATATATTTCCCAAAGAAATCATGTCAAGTTATCCCTTGAAGCTATCAGAGACGTATTATATATTTCCTTTAATATGTCTCCGAAGCTATATATCCTACTTGCAATGGGTACCAACTTCACGATAACAATTTCCCATAAAAATATCTTTGAGGAAGATTAAATCGCATAAATCTAACGTTATAGTTACCACTGTGCATGCGTTCTGTAATAAATAAAACCACTAATTATATCAGTATCTGATTTCAAAACAACTTAAAAAAAACGTCACGTGCCTTTCTTAAAGTAGTCGTTAAAACAAATATTGAAAATTTTATTAGCCTCCTTTGTGGAATTTATCAAGACATTTGATAGTGCCATTCGTTCAGGGCGTTTATTTAAATTTTATAACTAATTCTGATCACACAATTCTATGTTTAGTACAATTTTCTGTCATAAAGGGTCACCAGACCCTGTACGCCCTCCACTTATCTATCATAAAGGGTCACCAGACCCTGTGCGTCCTCCAATTATCTATCATAAAGGGTCACAGACCCTGTACGTCCTCCAATTATCACTATCCATTATTTACAAGTTTTATTCGAACTTTATTCGATTATTTACTTATCCCCATCGCAACCTAATGGTTTGCAAAGAAAATACTGGATGTGTTGAAATAAATAGTGTGATGACAGGTGCCTAAAGGTGTACACAAAATGAAAGTTTTTATTTTTAATATTCCTGCTATCAAAAAAGCGCATCAACTATATGTTTTTTACTTTAGCAATGGTGGTGTGAAATGAGTCCACCAGTCCTGGTATCTAGGTATAACACTTACAATGTACTTTCTCACACTCACTTTCTCTGGATGTTTTGCTGTTGCGATACATGACCAAGCAGTGCCAAGATATTCAGAAAAGATTTCAATCTACTCAGGCTTAGTTGCACCAATGTCCTTCTTTTGTCTACTTATCCAGAGCGTCATTTTATGTAAATACTATTGAATTTTTATTTTTTTTAATTTCGGCAGCACAAAAATGTGGGTTTTTTTTAAATGATTTTTTTTTCATAAAAAATAGAAATCGGATGGCATTTGGGCGGTTATGAGATTTTTTAAATCAAGTATTCACATTTAGATTCTTATGATGCTGTATATTTTGTGTTTCAAAAATAAATGTAACTTCTAACAGAGACGCATATATTACAGAGATTGGCAACTCACGCAGATCTCGTAAAAACACGCATGATCATAATTATTGTTCAGGCAGTGAAATAAGATACGCCGCGAGACTTGGGTTGCGGCTGCGCAATCACGCGGAACCTGGTCTATGAGTGTTTGTTTGACAGCTAAAAGCACATGTCGAAGCAAAATGATATCGATCCTAGCTGGTGACGATAGTCTGGTTAATGTGTTAGTTACCTGTGAGAATTCGATCGTGTATTCGTTAGTTCGTGTCAACATGTCACATATCCTAGCCATATATCGCTCATATTAGAAGCTGGTTAGAAATATTTTGTAATATCTTAATACGTTTTTGAAATTGAAATGAAAAGAATTAACCCTCGCACATCACAGCCGCCATTTAAACTTGTTTATTCTTAAAAAAAAATGTATTTTCAGAGCTCAATTATCAAACTTTGCAAGTATTGTAAAAACCTTATTTGAAAAAGATGGCTAGAACTTTTATGTTTGATTAAATATCTGAAGATGTTTTAGAATTTAAATAATGAATTAGAAAGACACATCTAAACCGCCATTACCGCCATTTAAGCTTGTTTATTCTTAAAAACCTGTATTTTCAGAGTTAAATTATCAAACGTTGTTAATTTTCTAACAACCTCATTTTAAGAATCTGATTAGAAATATTATCAAATAATTCAAATCTGAAGATCTTTTTGAAATTGAATAATTCATAAAAAAAGTAGTTCGTGTTCTAATGTGTCATGAAAGAAATAACCCTCACACATCAGAGCCGCCATTTTAACTTGTTTATTCTTAAAAACCTGTATTTTCAGAGCTAAATGATCAAATTTTGTAAGTTTTCTAACAACCTCATTTAAGGAACCTGGTTAGAATTATTATCCAATAATGAATTTCTGAATACTTTTTTGAAATTGTCTAAAGAACAAAAACGGAGTTTGTGTTCTCCTGAAGCTAGAATCATTACCGATATGTAAACCCAGCCACGATGTGCAATCTTTCGATGTTTGGTGTTTTCTGAACTTAATCTTCATCTTCATCTGTTAGACTTCCTCCGATACCGACGATTACGGAAGTAGGGTCGTTGTGCTGTTGTGCGTTAATTATGTACAGTGATAATCTTTTGATTTTTTTTTTTTTTGTTATTTGCTATTGGATAAAAACAGGTTAAAAGCAGTGAGTGAGTGTAAGTTATGTTGTAGTTTTTGTATATGTTCGATTATGTTGTATGTGGTGCATGTCCTGAATTCTGCAAGTGTATTTGAATTAATTTTGTGGGAAGGCGGTTCCATTGTATTATGTTGTATGGAAAGAATGAGTGTCTGTATGTGTCTTTGGACGTGTAGATATGTCTGTAACTAAGGTTGTGTCCTTGACGTGTTCTGGTGTCTGCCGGGATGAGATTGTTAGTGTGTATTGCTACTTAATGGTTTATTATTTTGTAGAGAAGAATAATGCGTGTTCTTGTTCTGCGTGTGTTTAGGGTTGGCCATTGCAAGTTATGTATCATGTCTGTGACTGAGCTTGTGTTATGGTATTTGTTTAGGACATATCGTGCTGCTCTTCGTTGTATTTTTTCTAATTGGTTTATGTTATTTGTATCATGTGGGTCCCAAACTGAAGAGCAGTATTCGAGTTTTGGTCTTCGATGGCCTTGTATGCATGTTCTTTTATGTGTGTTTTAATTTATTTTTAGGATGCGTTTCAGAAAGCCTAGTGATTTATTTGCATTTGATGTGATGTTGTTAATGTGTTTGTTCCATTTAAGTTGTTTTGAAGTGTGATGCCTAGATATTTGTTTGAAGTAACATATTCTAGTGTGTGGTCATGGAGTGTGTATTGGTGTTTAATTTGTGTGTGTTTTGGTGATATAGTGAGTATGGTGCATTTGTCTGGATGGAATTTCATGAGCCTGTTCTCTTCCCATTTACTATCTGCATCTAAACCTGCTTGTAGTTTTGACGTGTCGTCTTTGTTGTTGATTGTTTTGTACAGTATACTGTCGTCTGCAAAAAGTCTTAGTGTACTGTGTGATATGTATTCGGGAAAGTCGTTGATGTATATGAGGAAGAGGACTGGTCCCAAACAGGACCCTTGAGGCACTCCAGATGTTACTGGGATCTTGTCGGAGTGTTTTCCCTCAAGTACTACTGTTTGAGTGCGTTGTGATAGAAAGTCTGTTATCCATGTTAATGTGGTTCCGGTGATGCCGTAATAATTTAGCTTGTACTGAAGGTGTTTGTGTGGGAATTTGTCGAAGGCTTTGGCAAAATCCATTATGATAATGTCTGTTTGTTTGTTGTTGTTGTGGTTCTTTGCGAGGAATGTAATGAGTTGCGTTTCGCAAGATCTTGATGTGCGGAAGCCATGTTGTAGGTCGTGCAGTATTTTGTTGTCTTCTAAGTGTTTCATGGTTGCGCTTGTGATGATGTGTTCTAGGAGTTTGCATGCAATACATGTGAGTGATATTGGTCTGTAGCTTGTTGGGTTGTATTTGTCTCCTTTTTTGTATATGAGGTTTACGTTGGCGTGTTTCCAGTCTTTGGTAAGTGTTCCTGTACTGAGTGATGTTTGGAATATTTTTGTAAGTATAGGTGCTGTGATATCCTTGAGTTCTTTTAGTATTCTGCCGTGTATATTGTCTGGGCCTGTTGCTTTGTGTGGGTTAACGTTATTTAGTAGTTTGTCGACTCCTTGGCATGTGATATATATCTGGCATGGGTGGATGAGGTGATATTCCTTTGTCAGGTATTGTTATGTTTGGTTCTGGTGTGAAGGCATATTGGAACTGTTCATTTAGTATGTTTGCCTTTGTTTCTGGGTCTGATGTGAGGTGGCTGTTTTTTCTTTTTTTGTGGTTTTAATGAAAGAGACGAGTTTTTTCGGGTTGTATTTGTTCCTTGTGTTGGGGTCTTCAGGTTCGCCTATTGGTAGGTCTGTGATTATCTTCTCAATGTATTGAAGGTATGCATTGCGTGTTTGTTTTTGCACTTCAGCTTTTACTGTTTTGTATGTGTGGATAAGTTTGTGATTTGTCCTCGATTTGTAGTGGAGGCGTTTAGACTTGTTTGTGAGGCGGCGAAGTGAGTTGTTCATCCAGGGTGGTCTATGTTTATATGTTAGTGATTTTATTGGATTTTCTTTTTCTGTAGATGTGTGGAGTGTTGTTTTGAAACTTACCCAAAGGTCTTCTGTGTTTGGATGTTCTAGGTCCTGAAAGTTGTTATTTAGATTAGTGAGGTCTTTCCTGATGTTGTCCCAGTTTGCTTTGTTATGTAGTAGGTTAATGTTCCTAGGTGGTTTGCGTGTTTTTGTAGTCTAATCTCTGCTTCTGTATATATGATGTCGTGATCTGCCTTGCCTATCGGTGGGACTATTTCTTGTTTATTGATGATGGATGTACGATTTGTGAGTGTTAGGTCAAGGATGTGTTCTCCTCTTGTGGGTTTGTCTATGGTTTGGGTGAGGGAGGTGTCGTCGATGATGTCTAGAAGGCGTTGATGTAGGGTTGTGTCTGGTTTGCCTGGTGTTGTAGTGTTGTTTGACCAATCTATGTGTGGGAGGTTGAAGTCTCCGCTAATAAATGTGTTCCTATTCTGTTCAGGGATATTTCGAGTTCTG